CCACCTCCATCTCTTCTCTCACGCATGTGGTTGATTGCTTGTCTTTCTTTCTCCAATTTTCTCTTTAGTACCCTAGAGCCTCCGGATGCTGCTATGAGCCATGCATGTTGATTCAACCCTTCGGACCTTTCTTCTTTTTGAGTAGGACTTCTTAGTCTATACCCCTGTACCGATCCCATTTAAGGAGGGGATAATATATGATCCTTAATCGAGAGTTTTCTCGGGCTCTGGCCTGGGATGTAATTAACCACGAGGGCTTGCACCCATGGGAAACTCGGTCCCACATCTATTAAACCCTATTCGAACTGTTATATTGGATGGGGGAAACCTGTGATTAGATCGTGTATATTACTACACATCGGGGTGTGTTGGCGATAGCCTCTATCCTCAATGGTCAGTCGTATGCACGATCCAATCTGTCTCTTCCAATTTACCCGTTCACGCGGTGCTCTTTCGGAGACCCACAAAGGGAAAATAGAAAATGCATCTGACTCATACACACCTAATATTCACCTAGGATTCACCCTATCAAAAGGCTACTAGAAATTATTTTTATCCATTTTTACAATTAATTCGTATATTTTCTTAAATAGCTTTGACATTAAAGATCATCTAGATGCTGCATCTGTAATCTACCAAAGTGATCTTACCAATCCATTCTAAAAGGTTTGAATAATTAACCAATTTGATAGAGCACAATGAGCACATTTTTTAAGAATTTTTTAAACTCACCTAACTTTCATAAAGTGACTCTCTTTTAAACTGGGAAAAAGATGTGATTTCATTCTTAAGTTTGATAGTTTGGATTCCAACTCATTCTAAGTGATTTTATAATTTGGGGGAAATGAATTCAATCAAATCTTAGCTTTGTCACTAAGAGAAAAGAAAATTAATCTAAGTATAATACTAATACCATCATCATTGACACCATTATGATAAAATATTGCATAAGTTTGTAAGAAACTGGCTAAGTGTAGGTTGGCAACCTCATTAGGAGTTCACCCAAATTGAGAATTTTGAACCATCTAAATTATGGTTGGTTTCAATTCAAAATTATTGGCTGGGATTGTAGGTCAATTGATACTCTCATGGATTCCTTCTGTTATAAGGGTTAGCATGCTCTCCAAGAGGTGTAGGATAGTCTAGATCGTGTACTAGTTCAAACATCTCTAAATTTTTTTATTATTTTTTAAATTTTATCATGGTTATGTTTATCTCAAAATCAAAAAACAATGGATTCCTACTAGTTCCACAAAACAAGCAATAATAATGCATAAAGAATAAAAACTAAACAATCAATCAAAATAAAGCTTTTTTTTTGTCATTTTCAAATTTTAACAAAAATGGTAAAAATAAAAACATATGATATAAGTAGATCTAAATATGCAACTAGTTCAATAATATAGTTTAAGATTACAATATGCATGTTACTTCTCTTAAAATGAAACAAAAAAAAATTATGTGGGCAATTCTGTCAATAATGTGAGCTACACATAAAGCTAGATTGCAATATAAATATGTTTAGGTTTTCTTGTTATAAAAATAATTAAAGCCCAAAAAATATGAAAGTATATATAGCAATTAAGTAAGAAAGTGATAGAGAGGAGTGTCAATCTCACAAGGAAATGTTATGCTTGATTGTGATTAAAACTATTTATATTTAATATAGATGGAGAATTTTTCCTACAAAATGTAAAATGGTTATTTTTTTAGTTTTTGCCACTTAGTAGAGACTTGTAGGAAAATTGGTTTCTTATGTAAATAAGATATTTTGGAATAATGAATGTAAAATAATATAATTGTTCTAATAAGTCTCTTAATTTCAGATGTGAATCAGAACTTATGAATTATTAGATTTATGTTTAGCTTGTAGGGATGAAAAGGAAGGTTTATGGCCTTCTTACTATTCTAATATCTACATAGAATCTTGAACCTTTAACATCTTATACCAAAGTATGCCAACATTTTGTTTTAGTACTCATATTTATCCAAATATTTCTTAATCGAGGAAATACATCACAATAGATATTAGTAACATATATGGCTATTGTATGCACTAAATTCAAAACGAAAGTTATTGAAAACATTTATAAATTAATTCAAAGCAAAAGAGCCTATATAGCCCAAAACTCAAAAATTTAGCCAGACATGAATAGCATAAAAAAGTAAACTCATATTTATTTCACTCATATAAAAAAAAGATACAATAAAATTATTAAACATAAATGTCACCTAGAAAGATCAAATAGTATTCTTTACACTCCTTCCTCCAACAATAGAATTTCTTATACAATACTCCAAATAAAAGTATCTTGTACTTTTCTAGTCTCCCTGAATCTTTACACTATGGGAAAACTAAAGGAAGGCACTCAAAAGAACAAAACTTCACTAAGAATGGAAAAATTCCTCTAACTAAAGAACATAATTTTTCTTTATACAAGTAGAAAATGGCATCAAGTGTTATGGTGCTGAAAGTGTTGGCGCTGCGGTGGTATAAGTATCACCTTGGTGCTGTTAAGCTTTCTCTACTACAACGTTGTGCTGACATGGCACAATTAATGGCTGAATTAATGCGTCATTTAGTTGAATTTGCATGACTCTACATTTTGATATTTCCTCTGTAGAGCATCGCGGCACCTGAAAATAAATATGACGATATGGCATTAAAAAGCTTGGTACTTTGGTGCTCATTTTGCAAAGATTCCGATGTTGTTGTGTTTATGTCCAATGTAAAGACGTTGGTCTGGGCTCTATCATGACTGTAATCTCCTTAAGATTCATGAATGGACAGAGTTACATTGTCTGAATTAGGGGTTGGGTGTTATTAATGGAAACATTATGACGCAAAACCTGTGGGTGATCTGGGTCGCGGCACTTGTTCAACACTTGTAATTTTGTTTCTTCTCATAACTATTTTCTACACAAACACAACTAAAATAACATATTTTCACTAAATTTGTACTTAACACTTGCTTGTCAAAGGGCTGAGTTAATCAGAGAATTTAATGTATATCCATGAATGCCCTGTCATATGTTTTGATAAGTAGCTAATGAGCCATGAAAAAGGTACTCCCAATTAGAAATATATCTCTTGTTGGACTCATCCAAAACAAATGGAGGAACTCACTCAATGAGAATGGCAAGCATCACTTTCCCACGTCTGTTGGATATTTTGCTGCATGGCCTGTCACTCTATTTTTTTATTGATTTCATCATATTTGGGCAATTTCTGTTATCATTGATGTGGTTAGATGTAATATATTATATAAGCGATTGTATTCATTTCTATTGCAATTTTTATATATTATTTATAAATGTTGATTCTAATCAACATATTACTAGGAGTTATATGGCATGGTTTTTTACATCGATTGAAATTTTTTAAAACTTTAATAAAATCATCTTCAAATCATATTCAAAGCTTCTTTGACCATTGTTAATCGTCTTTGACTATTGATAAATCCTAATTTCAAAATACAAATAATATTTGAATAAATTTTGATCAATGTTGGATTATGAGTCGAACAAGTTTTGGTCATGGTTTAAATAAAATTTGAGCAATATTCAAAGATGTTAATCTCATGCATTATGTTCTTTGGGGTTTAATGTTCAAAGTATAATTTTATAACATTATTAAGAGTAAAAAATTTAGATAGACATTTAAGATCATTAATCATCAATGACAATCACTAGATAATTCTAAAAGGAGATGGAAACAAAATTATAATTTAAATATTTTTCTTAGAAATATTTCTGAGCATAAATCCCCATAGAAGAATAATATCTCAGATGTAGGCGAAATTATTCTGAGCAAAGGCTAGATGCCGCTCTATGTTCAGAGGCGAATCAAGTGCAGCCACATCAACGATATCGAGTTGCGATACTGAGCGAAGGAGTGATGTGATGCATTTATGTTGGTCTTCTGACGACGTTTAGCATCCGCAAGGAATAATTAATCCATATGTGGAGGGCATAACTAACTTTTTGCTCGGAACTCCATTTACACAATAATAAGCCTCTCTCAAATTTGAAAAATATTTTCATCGGAATAAAACTTCTTTAGTTCTTTATGCGTTTCTAAAAAAAAAAAAAACATAATAAATAGGAATTTGTCATTTTTGCAAGTTGCACATTCGTACTTCTACATCTTTTTGCCGAAGCAGTTTGTAGTGAATCAATTTATCTTCACTGTACTTTAGCTTTAATGCTCTTTTCTTAATTGTAGATTTCCCCTAATCTCAGTGATATGATTGTAATTTGTTTTTTGTAATTCATATTTTAATTTTATTCGATAAACTGCTCTTTGGCCCTTGATTTCCTTAAGAAAATAATAGACAGCTGTGAGGCTGCAGTTTCATAAGGCTTTTCATCATTGTCGACCGTACAGGAGGCCGGCATTGGATCACAAAAGCCAACACTCGAACCTTTTTTTCTCCCTCATAGCTGTCGTGATCTTGGAGGAAACAAGGATCTCTTTTCTTTTTTGGGAGCTCTAATCAATCGCTTTGCTCGTCTGTGACGAAAATCATTAATGATAACAAAAGACGGCCATCACTAAAAGCCAAGTAAAAGCAGACATTTATTCAAGTTCTCGGAAAGCCCTTGTGCCCTTTGCCTCAACACTAGACAGAGAAAATGGTTCAATTTCGTCTTCCCTCCGACAAACAAAAGCTTACATTAGCACCAATTCCAGAAGGTTCTTACACCAAAGAGAGCAGTAGGCTACAGATCCCTTTCGTGCCAACCTATCCTACAGCAGCACTATAATAATAGCACATTACACTGCACATTTCTCTCTCTCTACCTGCCCAATGTCGAAGTAATTTTGGTAGAATGCTAAACATAACAGCACTGAACAGCCGAAGGGAAAAGCATGCAAAACATACAAATTGAGGCTACAGAATGCTTAAATTAGAAAACATACCCATAAAGTCCTAAGAACGCAGGAACATTGATGTTTTTGACGACCAATCTAGCTATGAGATTCTCTTTCTAATCTTCTATCTGTGACTGCACAAATCCAAGAGCTTCTTCCTCCCTTCAACGATCTCTTCAAAGAAGTCATCCAGCTGACCCACAAGGTTCTCCGTTCCGGACCTCAGCAAACCAAACCAACATTTGAACCTCTCCACTCTCTCCCACGCCGGCCCGCCTGCAACGGCATCAAGCTCACAGCATCCCATCAAACCTCCGGATCTCTCCATCTCCCAGAGTTCCTCAGTGGCGGCCCTCGCCTGCCGGAGCTCGTGCATCAGAATCCCCTTTCGGTCTTCCATTCCCTCCATCGCCCCGAGCAAACGGTGCTGCAGCCTCGCCAAAGACACCATGAACCCGGAGCCATAAAAGAGCGTGCATTCGGCGGGAGCACCTCGGCAACCCAAACTCGGGTCCGGCCAGTACGAAACGGAGCCCCATAGGAGAATTATGAGGATGAAGGAGCTAACATTCCTCATGGCGTAGAGGACTCCCCTGAATCCGTTGAAGCCGTGGAGCTTGGATTCCATTGAACGGACCCTCTCATCGAGTTGGAGAGCCAGCGGGCGCACTCTATTCTCCACCAACACCCGGTTCTCTTCTTCAAGCCCAGCAGCTTCCCTCCTCGAGTTTGAAATAGCCCGCATCACCTATAAAAACCCGAGAGGTGTAGTTATGCTGAGAAAGAGAACGAATCAACTATTAAGAAGAGCGGAATGTGATACCTGGCGGGTGAGGAGGGGAGAAGGCGAGAGGTGCCTGTTGTCGAGGGATGTGATGATGTTGGCTGCTGCAGCACAATAGGACTCCATGCTTGAGAGGCCGAGCTTGAGGACGAGAGAGGCCTCCCAGAGGCGGGAGCTCTCATCCATATATTCGTCGAGCCACTTGTCACCGCCGGGAAGGTGTAGCTTATGAACGAGATGGGTCAGGTGAGAGTGCAGCGAGCGGAGCAGTGCCATGGCACGCTGTAGGAATTGCACCGACATGAATGGCTGCGCTGAGAAACAACGCTCGAGGGCGTGGAGCCCCTGCG